ACAGAGAGAGAGAGAGATGTGGTGTCACGAGTTTTTTTTCTAAATCAGCCTGGTTTAGGACCGTCGTGTGATATCAATTATAAGGTCTCCATTGAGACATAACTTAAGACACTGATTTTTTAACATCAAAACATTCGCTCCCCGTCAAGCGGATACTTTTGTTTTCTTCTATAGGCTAACAAGGCTGGATTTTAGGCTACTGATTTTGGTTTTGTTATTGCACAATATGAAGGCGGGGAACTTTTGACTTACGTGGGGTATCCTCAGCAGTAAAGGTAGCAAAAAATCCAGAACCAGTCACTGAACCATCACTGGTAAAGACTAGAAAGGCGCTGTTCCCAGTTGTGAAGACGTCACTTGCCGATAAACCGCAAAGGGTGGCAATCTCAGGAGCAGTAGCGTCTGGACCATCATGCACAACGAGGGAGTCAAAGTAACAGGTTGAGTCATACTCCAGGTTGAAGTGCGTAAATCTGCAAGAATTTTGATATTTATGTTATATTTTTTGCAATAGTATGGCCATTGCGTATCAAGATCCTAATATATAAACTATAAAATTAAATTGCATTGCGCAGCGTCAGATGAGCTATGTACAAATATATTCAAGAATCCAGATAAAGTTATTATAGGTAAACAAGGTTTCTGTCCAAGAAGATGTAAGAAAGATAAAAGCAAAACCAGAAAAAAAGACAATATTTTACCGGATGGCAACAACGTCACTCATATTGACATATATCTGCCAAGTACAGTAAGCGTTGTTAGGGTAGTGTCCTGGGTAACCTGGTGAAGTAAAGCTGCCGAAATTCCCATTGAGTACAGTAGGGTTGTCGCATTGCACAGTCGGTGTAGTTGCCACAACTTCAGTGGTACCTACTGTGGTTCTGGCTTGTGGTGTTGCTGCAAATGCAAGTACATCATTGCGCGTCAATGATTATATTCAATTCATCTAACTACGGTCGCAATTTTTCTGCATGATAGCAACAACAGCATAAACAAAAAAAGACATAATACTATATACAATATACTATATGTAGATAGATAGATATGAAGGCGGGGCACTTTTGACTTACGTGGGATATCCTCAGCAGAAAAGGTAGCAAAAAATCCGGACCTCGTCACTGAACCATCACTGGTAAAGACTAGAAAGGCGCTGTTCCCAGTGGTGGTGACTGTTCTAGCTGACGAACCACAAAGGGTGGCAAGCACAGGAGCAGTAGCGTCTGGACCATCACGCACAACGAGGGAGTCATAGTAACAGCCATTGCTATTCTCCAGGTGGAACGCTGTAAATCTGCAAGTATTTTACAACATATCTCAATAATTACCTATGATGACCATTACGTACCAGTGTCCTAATATGTAAACTGTACAATTCCATTGCGCAGCGCTGGCGTTAGATGACTTATGGGCGATGTACAAAACTCCAGATTATCGTACTTAGTGTAATATTCAGTTTCTGGTCCAAGTAAGACACCTTAAAAAACTAAGGCGATGTCTTACTTACCGTATGGCAACAACGTCACTCATATTGACAGATATCTGCCAAGTACAGTAAGCGTTGTTAGGGTAGTTTCCTGGGTAACCTGGTGAAGTAAAGCTGCCAAAAGTCCCATTCAGTACAGTAGGGTTGTCGCATGACACAGTCGGTGTAGTTGCCACAACAGTGAATTCAGTGGTACCTACAGTGGTGCTGGCTTGTGTTGTTCCTGCACATTCAAGTATATAATCAGCTTATGTCATCAGCATACAATCCATTATTGTACCTTACTGAGAGAGAGGGGGAGGGAGAGAGAGAGAGATGGATGGATAGAAAGAAATTGATATATGTTATAGAATGTATGTGCAAAAATGGAATTTGGAAATTGATGTTATTGCTCTCAAATGATACAGTATTCTTAAAAACAATAATGATATCCAATTAGAAACAGATGTTTCTTTTTACAACAAGCTGCGCGTGTATGATATAAAAGATTGATCGTGTACCTAATACTAGCCCAGAAGAGAATAGGAAAAAGCCATGCCTTCAAGTACCAGAGTTATCAACCAAGGATTGAGGTGTCAAAGAATTAATTCTTTCCTAAAACTATCGCAGAGTGGAACTCGCTGTCACCTAGTACAGTAGGGGCCTAGTCTTGTCATTAGATAGCTTTAAACAATGAATAGAGTTAAATGTTCAATGGTTAGGTGTAACAAGTCGACCGGTGTAATATAGCAAACTGCCGCCGCGCCGCGTGCCTGCGAAGATGGGATGTTACGCCGAAGGGCGGTTATACCGGCTATATAGCCTCTACCAGGCACCGCGGACCGCTGGAAAAATAGTAGAATTGGCCGAAATAAAGGAATAATATACCAGGTAGCCGGCAAGAGAAGATCCAATTCGCGACCCTGGATCTTCTCTAGCTATCTGGCCGGCTAACTCCCCTGGTATATTATTCCTTTATTTCGGCCAATTTCTACTATTTTTCCAGCGATCCGCGGTGCCTGGTAGAGGCTACCGGCTATATACAGATTCAGATACAGATCGGACTAAGGCATTTGTCCACTTACGGAGAGGCTCGTTGTAGGCAGTGAAGGTGGCGAAAAATCCCGAATCAGTAATCGACTCGTCGCTGTGAAAGACCACGAAGGCAGAACTTCCCGATGTCATGACGGGATCAACAGAGGAACCACAGAGAGTCGCTATAACCGGAGAGGAGATGTCTGGTCCGTCGTGGATGCGCAGACTGTCCCATATACACGTCCTGCCGCCATGCTCCAGGTTAAAGTCGTCAAACCTAGAGAAAGTACGGCAGAAACACATCAGTAATGAATTGGCGAGAACAAGTGACGTGTGATTCAGATTCAGTTGAAACCATGCAAGGACATTCTGCTTCTACTTCTTCTATATGATACTGGTCAAAACCCCTCACTGGGGCATCACGACCAGGGTGCTGGGTGCACGGCTAAGTGCGGCCGGTGGGGTGGTGGTGCTGAAAAGAACAACATGAAAACGACAAAGT